CAGCAGGAACCTCCTTGCTTGCAAAATGCCAAAATAGCTCAAAGGCACGTTACCAAACCCAGCTACATCAAATCTCTGGAACCACTTGTCCAGCTTTTCATGTCTCTCCTTTCGTTCAGATCCCTCACATGCAATAATGTTCTTTATTTCCTCACCAAAAAGCATCTTCTCCACCCTTAATCTCTCCAATGATGTTCTTGATACAGTGGATTCCAAACAATCAAACAATGCTGCATAGGAATATAGAGCTTCCAGTAGCCTATCCATCAGAGTTGGACCATTGTGATTAGAGTCTTGTTCGGTCACAACCATGACCTTTGGTGATAATCCCCATAAGGCATTAAGAAAAGTCTCCATACTCATTGAATTTGAAGCAGTCAAAGATGCTGGTGATGATGAGGTTGAGTCAGGACTTGGGGTATACCCATTTACCATATCTTTCTCAAGTAAATCACCCAATGTACTTTGGCTCATTGGCAGGACTCTTTGCAGGTGAATTCCATTTGAACTTTTTAAAAGATGAGGAGATTTTCTCTGCATGGCTTCATCATCCCAGGCCAAAAGGGAATGTAATTGAAGAATAGAACTTATTGCAAGTGCCTCCCCAGTTTTCACACGAAGTTTGTCAAAATCAAGATTTTCTAATTTGCTTACCACAGGGTTGAATTGGAATGGTATATCCAACTTTTCTGCTTCTTCAGTAAGTCTATGAGCCACCTGGTCCAGAATCTCCTTTTTCTGATGAACCCCAGTGATCCTCAAATGAGGAGGGCCTTCAGGTCGCGCACTCAAAACTTGAAGGAGTGCAATCCACTGAGCAGCTTCAGCAGCATTGAGATCAATTATGTGAATCATTTTCTCCCCTTCCATTGCTTCAACGATGGCCTGATTTGTGAGAACAAACGCCACCTTCAAGAAGGGGAAAAGCTCAAAGAAGTGCTTCTGAACAAGAATTTCTTCGGATAGCATGGTCATTCTGGTTGAGTTGAGGGCTCTGTGGATCCCAGGCCATGTTTTAAGAATCCGATCAGCAAGTGATTCCATAAAATATACCGCGATTCGCTGCATAGTATCCCCATCAGGGGAAGCAAGCAGGGAAATTTGCTCAAGGGTGGTATTAGCATTTTCAAGGTTACCAGCAGCTACATGATTTGCACAAGTGAGCAACAAATGGATCAAGTACAAACCCCTTTCCTCGGATTTCATCTCTCTAAGCAAGAGATTGTTGGGAGAACCTAAGCTAGGTGAAAGTGACATCATGGAGAAGAGCTTCAGGGGTGAAGAATTTACAGAAGACGACCCTTCTTGCAACATAAATCCCATGTAACAATAATAACAACAATTTCAGGAATTTGGAAACAATGAACGGTGATGGTTGTCAATAGCACGAAAGAGAAAGAATGTAGTCACAGAGAAATTACTAGATAAAAATAAAAACCTTAAAAAATTAGACTCATTCAGATAACAAATCTCAGGTTTTACAAAGCATGGGACAAGTTTAGAGAATCCAATGAGTGAAGACAGAATGAGGAAGAAAACACAAATTCAAAGCAAAGTAGGAGAAGCAAAGAAGAAGAGGATTTGATCATAAGAACCTGCACTGCCCATGTTACAAACTTTGATCAGAAGCACAATCCTGAACCACTCTTATCTATTTCTTATAGTCTCAAAAACTGAAGGGTCCAGTAATTCTCACAAATCACGCAAAAAGCATGGAGAAAAACACGGAAACAGTTACAAGAAGAAGAGGGAAACCTACCAAAACCAGGTCAGAAACAGAAGGCATTGTAACGAGGAAACGCTTATCCCTTGGGGGTTTTGAAATTGAAGAATAATCGAGAAAAAGCCCCCAGAAAAATCCAAAATTTGCCTCTTGGAACAGTGAAAAAGCCAGAACCGCAATGGGTTGGTTGTTCTGCTTCTAAGGGAGTGAGTTTCAATGTTTGGACCTTTGTTCTTCTTCTGGTTTCAGCGACTTGTTCATGACTACGTTGTCGACAATGCGTGAAGGGTCCCTTTTGTCTTTATTGTTTTGTTGTCCTTCACACCTCAGCCTCAGTGGACTGTGGAATTTGTCACAAACTCACTATTACAAATTTCTCCGAAACTCTCCCTTTCTTCAAAAACTATTACTATTATTATTTATTACGTGCTGCAGAATTATTATGCTCTCTGTTAAATCTTTTCCATCCAATTTTTTTTATATTTTAAATAAAAATTAAGTATATAAAATTATTATAATATAATTTTACATTATCATCATCTCACAAAAGTGACTATTATATATACCAAAAATTATTAATAAATGTGATTCGAAATCTATATTTTTTATCTCTGTTAATAGTTTGTTTATCTTTATTTGTTTCTCCAAAAGTGTCCCTTTCTTTCTCTCTCTAGAACCCGTCTTTCTTTTGTTTTGTGACAAAAACTTGCACTTTAATGTTTTGTTTTGTCTTTAACCTAAGGTGGGTAGGGAATCAGGGGTGGCCGAAAGAGTTTTAATATTCGGAAAGGTTACGTGAATACAAACATGCCTTGACAAAGACAAACAACGTTGCCCTCGGTTTTGCTTAGTGTGAGAGTGAGAATGGCAAGGAAGTTCCAAAACATGGTTTTGTTTTATTTTCAAAAGCAATGACCATACAATTGGATTATCTTCTTCTTCTATTAGGACAAACAGACAAGCAAGTTAAGGAAACGTCCAAAATCAGATTCAACATTTATCACTACTTGTGGATTCTTAGGTGGCACTTCACAAAATCCTACCACCGTTTCATCAATGCTTTTATGGAATTCCCAATTCTCTTATCATTTTCCCAAAAACCACATCACATCATATTTTACTTTACTTGCCCGTTTGTTAGGTCCTCTCTCATCAAATTTTGTATTGCCTTACCATTGCCAACTACTCCCTTTCTCTTAAATCCCTAATTGTTTAAAGTTAATTTATAGAAATTAAGAAATAGTAGTATGATAAGGATTAATTGTGATATGTATTTTTGTAAATACTAATTCATATGAAAAACAATAATTGTATTGCAGGAAAAATTCATTTAGGATTTAAGAGTATAATTCAATTATTATTATTTTTTTATAAAAAATACATTTTAAGAAAATTTAGAAAATGATAACACTTTCCTTAAATAAATTGTTATACCAAGTCACTAATCATTAAAATTACGAATAAGTTGAGAAGTAAAAATTTATGATCTAACTTATTTAAAGTTTGGTTTGTCTTTACTTATTTAATAAGAATGACATATTTAAATTTTTTAAAAAAATATTTATTTAAAAATACTAAAATTAAATTTATAAAAAAAGTTGGTTAAATATAATATTAACTATGTAATATTAGTAGAGAAAGAGATACTTCATGTCTTATATATTTATTTTTTAAAAAAATTGAAAGAATTTTTTTTGTTAAATCTATGGATAATAATATCTAATACAAAAATAAAAATTTATTTTTAAAAGAATAAATTTTATTAAATCTAAAAATAATAGTGTTCAATACAAAAATTAAAATTAAAAGGGTGGTTACCAAAACCTATAAGTATAAATAATATTTATAATATTATAATATTAACAATGTTAGACCTATTTAATTATAATATATATATATATATATTACAATGTTAAAATATAATTAAATAAATAAATTTACGATAAAAATATTAAATTATTTATATTTTAACATTTTCATTATACGTTTCTAAATATATATATATATATATATATATATATATATATATATTTATTCT